GCTTGGCAACGACGTTGTAAAACAAGCCGCCCCCCCCGGTGTTTGCCATCGGGGTTTGGGTTTTCGTCGCTTGGCAACGACGTTGTAAAACAAGCCAATTCACCTCGTGAACTCGGCAACCAGGTTACCGTTTTTTTTTTTTACCTCGTTTTTTTTTTTTTGGCGGTAACCATAATGGTGGTCGAGTAGATCATGTTGTGCGGGGTCGAGAACCCTCACTCCGCGCAACGGGGGATGATCGCACCTCGTTGTGTTAAAATGGTCAAGCTTCCTCGAGGCAGTTACACAGTGCTTACAACTGTCTCTGGAAGTGAAAGCACCAGAAAATAAATTAAGTCATACGTAGCTGTCATCCGTACGCAAGGAAGTAAGCACAAGATGCCGAACACCCTTAGCAGGATGCAGCTCACCCTTCATGCGACTCGCCAAATACCTCACGGCGCTTCGCGCTTGGTGATGTGAGAGCCTGGTCCGGTGAGAACCCGGCGTGCTCCGTCCCGGCTTTGTAGGGATGCGAGGTCAATGGTCAAAGGATTACGGCATGCACGACTATGAGTACACCCCCCCCCCCCATCACTGTACTATTGCACCAACCCCCCACGAGCGATGACGTGCCTTTGCTGTCTCGGTGGCTCTTTTTTGTTTTCTTGCAATCTGTTTTGTTTGTCGCTACGGTGGTGGTTTTGGCATGGGTCTTTCTGTATTTTTTCCTCTGTTTTCTTTTTCTTTTGTGTTTTTCTTTTTTTATTGTTTTCCTTTTGAAATATGACCGCCTCTTTTTTCTTCTGTGAAGCCAAGATTGAACCAGGGAATATACCTACCCGCTGGCCCGTGATGTTGACCTCCAGTCTATGTTAGTAAATTAGCCTGTGGCCACGGGAATCGACCGCGTCAAGTGCTAAGACTGCGGACAGATGAAGATACTGGGTAGAGAGATCGGAACGGTTTTTGATGTGAAGACAACAACAACAAAACAACAGGGTGATGTGTGTGGCCTACAATTTCAACTCTTGAACAATAACAGGTAACCTAAACATGTAGGCAGAGACCGTCGCGGCCACGCGATAACTGACTCATTGTTTCCTCGATCACCTATCCCAGGGCGATCAACTTAAGGTTGACTAACGTGGCGATTGGTGCTGCCTCGTTCAGAGCGGCTGGAAACCACGCGTCGCTCTCCATTGCTTCCAATATCGTGCGCTTCCATAGAATCACCCGCACACAAGCCATGACATGCGAAATCTTATGGAGAAGCGAGCTTATTCGCCAAGCAGATGGCCATGTGCTTTTAACCCCCCCGCCCCCCCCGTCCTTATCTGAAAATCTGGATGCGTTGACTGTGTCACTCAGTTGATAGTACCTCACTGGCACGGCGCGTCAAAAAAGATTATCATCAGCCGATGATTGCTCCGCCCCGTAATCTGTTCTCTGGAAGCTTTCGCCCTCCATACGAATCACTCAACATCCCGTGGGGCTTCGCGCTTGGTGGTGCAACACAGTCCTTCTGGACGTTTCTCGTCTGAAGCATGATACCGAGTATATACATCCCTCAGCCCATAAACACAGCCGTAACGGTTTAACCAATCTACATATCTACACCACATGTGTTCCAGGTTACCTCGGGCCAAACATACTCCGCGTACGCACTGCTTACTTGTACAAGAACTAGACTAACACCCCCGCTGAGCTCCCTAGACGATCCCAACTCTCCGGTACAGGCTGAGGAATCCATGCCTCACAAAGCGCTCCGAGACGAAGGGGATGAAGAAGGCACGTAGCGCCGGATCAGAGAACTCTGGGTCCAGCAATTTATGTGACAGAACCTACAAGGTGATTAACAAAAGCGCGATGCACACGTGTGAAGACAGGGCAGCATTTCAACGTCGTCTGTCCCCAAGGCAGCAAATTCTCGACTGGAGTTTGGCTGGCTTCACTTGTTCTCGGTGAACGTTTGCGACAGCGCCCCAAGCGCGCCATTTCGATAGAAACACAAACCTTAAAACTCTAGCGCAGCACTTAATGGCGCTGACATTCCATCAGATACATGCAATGCTTAATGAGTAAGTGAACGGGTGCACGCTCACGTTTCTGCCAACAATATCCACAAATGTAGCGGGTAGCTATCCCCTGATATTCTGTCACCGATATGTTCGAGAGGAAATCTCTCGAAGTTACAAGAGAAATCTTACCGTATGCCACTGCTCCTTCGTCTTTAGTATGTCCTGCATTGCCTGGGACGCGCGGGTGGAGTACTGGTCGTAGTCTCTGAACCGTGCAGCTAGAACGTAGTCACACTCATCTAGTGTCACAAACCTTGCACAGGGGTGCACGCAGCGAAAGGACACAACGAGGGGTGGGGGGGGGGGCGTACTCATCTTGCCGAAAGATTTTCACCAATGATCACGCATTCGTCCAAGCGGAGGAGTACTTGCTCTGCAAATAGAGAGACCGCCAACATCCTCAAAGGTTTCTGCCATACTCCTGATAAGGTAATTCTTACTTTCCCATCTCCCTTCTTTTCCGGCGTTCTTTAGCATACTTTAGTACCGCTGCTTTCTCCTTTCGCCCAATGTACCAAACTTCTCAACACAACATCTACAATCGACAGCAATCTCTTCTGCCCTGTGTAAACTTCCACATTTCGATGTATATGCTGGATGGAAACTGGGGTAATAAGACGGAGTTCACGCGGAAGCTTAAATTTCCAGAATGCCCCATTGTCCTGCGGTGATTGCCCTAGTTGTTTTCGCGATAAGAGTTCAGTCGTCCCTTTTCCTCGTCGAGTCGAATACTCATAAATTAGTCGTTTTCCACCGCCGCAAACCGCAGGCAATCGAGCTCCAACCCACTGTTAATAATAGAAGGGTTCACCAGGTCAACCACTAGTTTAACAAGTTAGCCACCGCCGGGGCGACCATTACGTTTTGGTGTCTTAAAAAGAGAGATCTAGAGTAAAGGCATCTGAACTTGACACTATACAGGACAACCGTATACTAGCCTCATTGTTGTTGTTGCCCTCAATCGTAAATGCAACTTGTCACGATGATGTTGACAGGGGGGGGCTAAGAGACTGGGTCGTGCGAGACGAAAAAAAATAGATGGTCGAGCGCCCTTGAGCTATTGTCTACAAATTTACCAATGGTTGCTGCATTAATCGCTATTTTCGTCTAAACAAACCAGTCCATGGCAGAGTGGCGGCAAAGACGACTTTTGTCGAAGTCAACAGCGCCTAACCGGCATTGACCAAGCTGCATCCAACGAATAAACAAGTGCGTTCTCACCTCTCCTCTTCTTGTGCGTTGAGGTCGTTGAAGGACTGCAGAGGTTCCGCCTTGGTGCCGTTGGTGGGCTGCAGCAGCAGAAAGGTGACGGCTTCCACTTAAACTTATGACAGATAGCGACACTTGGATTCATTTGGCCACCGCACAACAAACATGGTTGTGGCGTACAGTAGTTGTCCCGATATCTCATGGTGTAGTGAAGACAAAATAAACCGCGTAACAAGGGCGGCGGACGCGGGGTGTTTCCGCTCCCCTCACCCCCGGGTTTAAGTGGATGTGTCCATACGAAACGATAAATGTGAGGTAGCACTTGTCGGAATAAAGCGCTGAAGTCCTGTCGCGTTGTACATTTAATAGCTCTTTGAAAGTTTTGCAAAGCGCTGAACACGAGCGTACACATTAACACGACATCGCGACGATGTGTGCCAGCCTGTCCGTCGTCCGTGGGTAACATTGGCTAACACCCATGGCTACGCTCTGTGGGGCTCGAACAGCAGCTGTAGCAGTATATTTCGCACACACATCACACGTTTCCCCCAGAATTATAGCACAATAACGTGGGTGTTTCGAGTTCCGAGAGGCACAGTGAATTCTCGGAACATCCGACAAATTGCTATTCTCTACATTGTTGGGAAAAGATGTTGGCCCACTTTTGGTCGCACGCACATTGCAAGGAAGCAGTGTTGCACAGTAGTCCCCAACAGACGATGGTGTAGTATGTACCATTTCGTAAGAGTACACAAGTAGACACGTTGTTGCTTGTTTAGCTAGACATATGTTCCGAGTTCCGTGATCACTTCAAGTTCCCAAAATACACAGAAAGTTCCGCCCAATCACCACAGCGTCAATAGATAGTCTCACCCCAAGAAGTCAGAGGTGCACATGCAGGTGCGAACACGTGGTTTGGAGCGGTTTCAACGGCGCGGAATATCGGGACCCGCACTATCAAGGGAAGGTCCTTGAAAGAAATCTGGTATCTAAAATAGTGGTAGGCGAGGTTGTTGTGCCAAGGAATTCTTACTGTGATTTATCGGGAACCGCGATATTCGGGACCGCGATATATCGGGATCATTACTGTATCCCAACCAATTCCAGAGTCGGACTCTGCAAGGGAGTGTAAATACAAAAAATACGACCCGACCTCGTCCACCTTTGGTCACGATCCATTGAACGATATCAAGCACTCGCGGATTAAGTCACGCGAGCTCTTGAGCCACTGCGCGGTAGGTCTGTCGTTTCTTTACCACAGACGGTAACACAGCAAGGAGCACGCGCAAGAACCTCACCGCGAATGGCTGGGGAAGTTGTCCGTGGAAGTCAGACCTTAGGAAGCTGACTTCAATTTTCTCGCTGGGGATATAGAAACTGCTGGGGTACCGATGCCACTCGCCCCCTACACAGAGACGAACGGGCTGCATCATCTCGATGGCCTGGAGATGTTGCGGGCCATCCCAGTAAGACCGAAACTCTCGGTAATAGACAAACCTGGAACAGCGGGACCGCACGGTCAGTGAATAGAAGCGGACCTCTGGGTGCCATCCGTTGGAGAAAAACAGCAAGTCCTTCACCAAACTGCAGCCAAGCACATGTGCTGTACTCAGTGGTAGCATTTGGTTGACGAGCTGAACACTTCACATCCGGAATGGTGTTAGGCAGCAGGGAGTGGCAGTCGCAGGGTCGACCTCTCGACAAGTTTCATGCTTGCCTCGAATGCTGCGAGGCAGCTGCGGTGCCCACTTCAAGATGAAAACCGCAACAAATATTGGACTCACTTGAAGACATTGCATGGAGTGTTGTGGAATCGAACGACGGCTGCAGTACGGCACATGCCGAGGCACGCCGCAAACAGCACACCTGCTCGATCAAAGGGAAACGCAGAGGTCGCACAGGTCACGACAAGACCATCAGCAGCGAGGTGAAGTGCACTTACCTTGGTTGCTTGTGTATCAAGCCAAGCACGAATAAACTCAACCGCACACGCGGGATTTGGATATCAGTGCCAGGTATCTCGCCAAAAGTTAATTAGAACATGGACTACGGACTATTTACGTCACAAAAACCAAAATCATCCCGACAGTTGCTCTGACACTCATGACACGGTCGATTTTGAGATATCCTAAACGCGTACATGCCATGGCCATCGCCTGCGGTAGGAGCTTCCTGTCCGCCCGTGCGTCGTCACGAAACTTCTCCACGAGCTCACTAGCAGCCTGTTCGAAGACAAAACAATACTCATGATGATTAGCGTGGCGCATCTCGTTGCCACGCGCTACGCAATTGGTGTGTTCTACGCCAAGCAGACACCCAACGATATTACAGCCCAAATCATTCTAACGTGAGACAGCACGAGCTAAAAACACCTTCCAAAGGGCCGAAGCCCGAACTGCCCGAGTGTTGTTGTAGTCTCACCTGCACGATGATGTCTAGCGTGCATGCTGCCGCAAGAAAAATGGAAGGGTAGACCGGATAGAGAAAACGTTCCTCCTGTAACGACGGTGGGTCCACGACGGATGCAACGGGCACCGCGGCTTGGCAAGGGAATCTCGCGACAGTGACAGCCAAGTGATTCGGACGAGTGACTGTGGTCAGACCATCCCTCGTATTGCATCAGTGTGGATGGACCCAGAAAATTACCCGTCAATATCTGTCCATTGGTGAGAGATACACTTGTGATAAAGTGTCAGACAACACGAATAGAGTCTTGTACACCAAGCCCCCCCAATACGTGAAGCACGTTGTACACCAAAGTGTAGAAATCCATCGCAACTATTAATCGAAACCGCCGAACGGGGGCACTTCCATTTACCTTGTGAGGCTTGGAGAACATAATTGCAAGCCACAGCAGCCCTGGGGAACACATGAGTAGCTTCTGCCTCAGTTCCGACTTCGCAACCTGAACAACGTACCAGGGGCAAAGTCCATCAAAAACCATCATGTGCTATGTAAATTGGGGCAGATGGTTGCAAAGCCATGGCAGATACAAGGCACCTACGCGTCAGGGGATTCATCCATCACAAAACGCCTCGAAAAACGTGCGCTTGTGTTAGGTTGTGTTCGACAATGACTTGCCATCAGGGCGGGGTGTACATGGTTCGGTATGCGAACATGTAAATCCAATCAGGGCGCGGTGTGGAAGGTTTGATACGCTAGTACGGAAATAATCCAATCAAACGATCGTTACAGCGACTAGACAACAGAAAACACTGCTGAGCTGCATGACGAATGCTCCAATGCCACACTAGCTCTGCCGTTCACAACAAGCTCATGATCCCTCTTCTCTGCTCACCTTGTCGGCCATGGGGTACAGAGGCAAGGCTAGGAGGGGAAGCACCACAGCGAGAGGGAAGGCTACGGAGGTGTTCAAGAAGAGGTTCTTCACGTAGTACGATGCTGGCTCTACGCCATAAAGCTCGTCACCTCGGCCCTCGCCGGCGTCCAGAACGTTGTACCGTCTGCCACGGGACCGGAACACAGCGAGAACAAAAAACTCTTCGAACGCAAGAGACGGCTGACCGGAGAGAGGGCATGTCACTCCATACCTTACACCGAAAAGAAAAAGCAAACGTAAACCGAGCCGGAACGATCAACAGAAAACCGCTGCAAATTGCATGCGGTCTCCAAAACAAAACAAACTTACAAGATATTGAACGTTGGGGAGGTGTTCCGACCGTACCAGCCACTATCAATCCATGTCGCCAAGCTTGCGACAGCGACTGCGCAAATCACGGCCCACGTAGCCGATGCGGTTGCCGCCCCAAGACCCTCGGCGAACGATGTCCCTCGCCTCAAACGTAGCCAAGCGCAGTTGAGCAGCATCGGAATGAAGATGACACCAACGAACGGCCAGCCCGTACCGAACACGCACAGCATGGCCACCAAAATCTGGGCATACAAATGACCGTTGCGAAAACACGGGGGATTTGTTGGGATTTGGCCGGGGGATTCACGTCACACGTCACATGAGAAGCAAGTTGCAACAACGAGCCAACGAGCCAACGATAGAACAAGCCACAACGCAATATACGTTATATTGTTCGTGGCAATGGTCATATACTGGACGAGATGCTCGGTGAACATCAACAAGCAGCACAGGTTGAGGCAGGGGCACTCCAGTTGACGGCTCGAACCTAGTCCGGGTAGGATTCGCGGCGAGCTACAAGAAAAATGGACGCCTACCGCACGGCTGAACTGCCCCTTGAGCCACATCGCCATGACAAGCATGAAGAGCGTCATGCTTGATGACGATGGGAGAAGTGCCGGGGCAGAGACGAACATGCCAGCAGACGTGGCGGACAAGAGGAGGAAGAAGCCTCCTGCACGCCTGAAGATAAATACGAGCACAAGTGGGTAAATGGAGCGCGCCACGTCAAATCGTGGGAGGACAGCCCGAGTAACAAACTTATCCAATGGATTTTCGACTCAACTGCTAGATTCGGCTAGGCACGAATAGGCAACACAAAGCTTGAAAGGCACATTCTTAAGGTTAAGGTACGCTACGGTACACGTTCGCCACAGCCGCCGCAAACACTCGGTGCTTACCTTCCGAACTTTTGCTTGACGGCCAGGTACATCAGCACCTCGCACAACGTGCAGCACAAAACATGAAACAGCCTCACTCCCAGCCAGATCTGCACGATGACAAGCAAGGAGACCACAGTTCGTATTTGTCGGTGACACGTGGCGGGTGTATTAACACGCCGGAGCACTAGGGATATCACCAACGAATGACCTATGATTCAGGCTGATTACCGCCAAAGACTATAACGCGAGATTGGAACAGTCTAAGAAAGCATGCAACGTACGGTTGTGAAGGTGAGAAGCATAAAAAAAAAACGCGGGAAAACCGAAGTCCTACCTACGTATCCTGCGCATCTACATACACGATACCCCGTAGGTACGCCTGCACGTTACGCGAAGCAACTTTACCTGCGGTTTGTCGTTCCCTTGGCCAAATAAGGACAAAAATATCTCCGACGCCCTCGCCGCAGTTACAGAAGGTAGCAGATAGAAATAACTCCTCAGGGCAAACTGAGGCGCGTACTCCCTGCCAGACAATACGGCATTCATCATTAGCCGTTGTACTAAACACGACACTGATGCGGGAAACTAAGAGTGGCGTATTATTGGGAACATGCTTCGACCGAGAGAGGACAGGCCATGTCTCGAGAACATGTTCCATTCCCTTCTTGGCTGGCTAATCTACTTCTAGGTGTACTTGCCTATACCGCAACCCGCCTCAGACGCCGACACCGGAAGGAAACAAGTTTCTCAACCAAGCTGCGTTGTCTTACTGCCCACAAGAAATGCTTAACCCAACACTACAAAAAGACGGGACCAGCTACCGAAAGATATTCGAGCTTGAAGCATGAGAGTAAGGACGGTGGATGCCTTCTGGTTCGCTTATGCGATGGTTCTGCTCCATTATGCGCACCATGTCTGAAACCCAAATCCGTAGAGAAGGTAGTGAAGCGGCTCCCAGTAGTTGTACGTTTCATCGCAATCGCCAACGCACGTGGTTCCGGCCGACAGCAAACGGATGAGAAGGACAAACGCCGACGCCATTGCTGCAGAGGGAGCCCTGCGGCAGCAGTACCGGCATCCATTTAATGAGGCGTGTGCGGAACCTTCTTGAGGTTGTGGATGAAGATGAAGGTCTGGTACATGTACGGGGTGAATGACACTTTGAGGTTGTTCTTGGGATGGAACCAGGGTATGAACTATTACTATTCCGCCGGCGCAAGCATCACACCTACTTTGTGCTGTTCGCTACACCCATAACTACCACAACCGTGTGCCGCTGGGATTTATCTCTGCTCCTTGTCGCTGATATTCCTTTTGTTTTGTTCGATCCTGCACCGATCGGTCGTCGTTGCCGCTGCTGGGGCGAAGCAAGACTGACGCAAGGTTTACGAAGGGACACATCAATGCCCCATTTAAGGCAAGCAAGCAAGAGTACCGCGAAGAGCCGTGATGCTAGAGGGGGTAAAGGGAGGTTGTGCACCTTCAACACTCACCATACCATGTCTCCCACGTTGGTTCCACGTTCAGACTCCACGATCGCCTCAGTTTCTGGGACAGGGTAAGGAGAGGCGGCATTGTCAACATCGTGTTGTCGAAGTTGATCGGTCATTCGTATTGGCAACTGATAGACGCCTATCACCACGGCAGCAGAAGCAACACAAAAGCTCCACGTGACCGTTTGGGCGTTGTTCACACGACCATTGGCCGCTGTTCAAGAGTATATATATATATTTTTTTCTTTGTCTTCACTTAAAATCGGCGCTCACAGCACTAGTGTTGTTTACTCCAACCCGTGGTCACACAGAAGAGCCCCTCTCTACCCTCCCCTCCCTCGGTACTTTGCCTTCGATTTTTAATGCGAGAAGAGTTCAGCACTCTCTTCCCTCTGTGTACACACGAACTAGCGCTATCCATTAGGCCAGAAGCGGAAGCGAGAGAAAAACTCACTTTGCAAGAAAAGCTCGCTTACGCCGGGATTCGAACCCCTGGCCTGATCTCTAGAAGGTTTCGAGGATACTAACTAGACCACCGGGGCGAGTATGTCAGGCACCCAATGTTTGAGGCACGGAGAAGTGAACTAATGTGGGTGTTGCGCGGACGGCGTCTTGGGTTCGCGAGACTCGCCATCTGTACAGCAGTACCATATGCACAGCGTGATCACTTCACGCGTAAAATACTATCATGTTCCGGTTGTGGCACACGCGTGAATGCACACTCGTTTGTCTTTTCCGAAACGAAGATACAGCTGCTGTACCTCACCAGCAACCGGATAACCTCGGAACCCAGCACATACATGTCGCCCCTGTGGTCTAGTGGGTACCCTCCCAGCCTACAAAGGGTCAGGTCAAGGGTTCGAGTCCCGACAAAGTGAGTTTTTTCTCACTGAATAATCCTGGTCTAAACTGGAAGCGACGCGCTGCGAAGCTCGATGTTAGTAAACTCGATCGACTTCGTAAGTCGCGAGGGAAGGGATTGCTGTACCCTTCTCGCGATAAAAACATCTCAGGCAGGAACCGCAGGAGGGGGTCGAACCCCCCCGACTATGTGACCCCGGTTGGGTCGTCTAGCTAAATAGAAGAAGGGAAGGGTAGGGCGCAGAGGGGCAGACGACAAAGTCCAATGATGGGAGAACAAAAAAAACACACACACACACACACACACACACACTAACTTTTCCCGATAATTGTCATTCGGGTTATCTTGGGGCATTGACTCACGAACCTACATGCACCAATGCAACTTGGCGTCGGAGTTATGACGTCAACAACGTCATTTCATTGTTAAGACAGTAGTGGTGGGTGGTGTGGAGCAGGGCACTATTCGTTTATGTATCGATGCGTGTACAATACTGCTGCTGTAGGTGTGTAGGTGCCTATAGCAGCACACGTTTTTCTTCGGAACGAAATCGGTTCAGTGTGGTTCTGTGCTATCTCGAACGGGTAGACGAGTGTAGCTTAGGATTCCCAGCACATTATCTGGTTGCCTCTGTCCTTTTTCCAATATCGATTTCTACACAGCAACATCGAGTGGTTTCATTGCGAACATTCGGAGATGAAGTGCGTGGTTCAAGCAACAGGACGGCGGTCAACACACGCGCCTGGGGCGGGTGGTTTGCTGCTGTAGTATCCGGAGCACCGCTCGTGTTCCGATTCACCCGAGTTGCGAGCTTTACGAAAACCATTGCAGCAGTTATACCTGCGTCATTTTCGTCACGACCGCCGCTATCACCGCCACCCTCTGTTCGGTCTCGAGGAGCTCTGCGCCTCGGTTTTCCCATGGTGTTTCCGTGTAGCTTGTACTGCTCTGCTCTGCTCTCCTGACTACCTGGTCTCCTGTCTCCCCAGCACAGCAGCATGCGCTGTCGGGGGCTCCGTGTATAAAACAGTGCGGGGACTCGGCGAGAAATCAGCCCTCTGTCTGGTGCGCATGGCTCCCCCCACAGGCGTGCAGTGCTGTCTTCTCGCAACACAGCTAACCTGCGTTCACCTTCTCTTCCAACATGGGGGACCAGTACTACGTCGATGAGTATGATGAGGAACCAGACATGGACGAGCTCAAGGACTACATGTCGCCGGATGAAGGAGATGGAGATCTTGCAGGCTTCGAAAGGCCGGAACTGAATGTCGACCTCTCTACGGCTGTCGTCGTTTCCAACCTTCCCCAGGTGCGCTTTCATGTATATAATCCCCGTGCACCCGTTCTCTTCCTACGCTGCTGCTACCAACAAATGTACGTGCTTGACCTCTTGTGAAGGATGCATGTCATGTTTCTGGTGTTAGTGCATTCGTTGATGTGAAACCTTGCGTCGCGTACACTTGCACAAGGTACATCGTCCACATATTTTGCGACGCTTTTTAAATTTTTGCTGCGGCCTGATGGTGCCCTCCGAGTTGATCGTGCGTTGGTGTGTAGTGTGCTGCTGTACTGCAGTAGCGCAAGAACTGATAAGAAGAACTTATCCCAGCCTGTTGCGCCGCTACTGCTGCTGGTATTCCATTGCAGGTGGTGGAAGCAAAGCACGAGAAACTTGGCGGCGTGGTTAGGAAGGTGTTCAGCAAAATGGGCACTATCGCGGACGATGGGCTGACACACCCGTTTGACAAAACGACAGGGCTAACGAAGGGCTTCGCCTTTGTCAACTTCCTCAACCCGCAAGATGCGAAGCAGGCTGCAGCCACGTTGAATGGGTGGCAACTGGATAAGAGCCACCTCATCAAGGTGCCCCCAATTATTTTTGATATTAAGTTTATTTACATGAAATTATTTAGCTGCTAATTTTTTTATGCATGGGTGTATGCTTCAATTTTTCAAGGCGGACAAACCAGTCACGCTCTCCGTACATGCTTACATGCGCATCCCTGAGGTACTGCAGCAGCATCGTGTTATCTCCCACGTTCGTTTGCGCACGAACTGGCCTGTGCCTCGGTTCTGCTTCATTTACACAACAACATCTACACAACTACCATTGATTACCGGATTGGACGCTGCTACAACCTTACAACATGCATATGTTCTTGGCCCAAAAAACCGTGGACCCATTGGTTCATTTTCCCTGAGAAGTGTCGATACTATTTTATTGCTGTGAGTAACCGGTACAGCGGTGACGGTGCCGAAAATGGCGGAGTTTGAACCGTCCCGTCGAGAGCTTTCCGAACACGTACAAGTATCGTTTGCCTCCGGCATCCTCGTGGTCGTGGAGTAATCGAGCTTTGAAAATCGTGGAGGTGCGGTAACTTACGCAATCTACGGTAGTCTACCCAGGTATTTTCGTATTTTCCAAGTAAACATTGGACAAAGTATGGGGTTTACGTACACCCCGTGCCTGGTCTTTTTTCGTAATATGCATACCCTTACTTGCTTTGCGTAGGGAATCCTATGTACTCCTTGGAGATTAATAATGATTTTAGCCATGTTCAAAACAGCAAGCGTGATGTATACGTGTGCTCGTTGACACGAGCTTCTCTCGCGGCCGCTCATGTTAACCGTAGGTCCTGATGTCTGGCAATACTCCAAATAGGAGAGAGCTGAGACTAGTCGACGAGCTCACATCACCATTAAGGGGGTGCAAAAGACGAACTTTGATGTTGACTTATTTTGAAATGAAGCGCAAGAGCACCAGAAATTGCACAACAGACACACCAGACCAGTAGGAAGGCACCGCGTAAAACAGCAATCGTTGATTCTCGCACAGGGCGGCAGTAGAGCCTGCTCAAAACATACATTTCACGCGTCTACCTCCACACGCCTCGTTTGAAATCAAGATAAAAAATTCGCACCATTCTAAATTCTAGTCGAAACAGCCAAAACAGAAGGCGCTCAATCAAGGGCAATTTTGAGGATTAGCTGTCGCATTCTATTGTCATCAGTAGAGGACATCATGAAGATGCGTTGTGTGTGCTGGCACGCGCAGGTTTGCTACTGGAGCTGAAATATCGAAGGTCGCAGCAGCCTCTGAAAACAGTCCGAAATCTGCGCCGGAACCAAGCGGCATCCAACTTTTGTCACAGCCGTGCTCGTCGCCACTGATCCCAATCTCCTGAACTGCGGGTTTACAGCAGTAGCTGATGCCACTAGCTACTGCTGACGACCCGTGGTTCAGGAGTTTACGGTCCGTGGCGGTGATCGCGGCTGTGACAAATGTTGGATGCCGCTTGGCTCCGCCCCAGATTTCGGACAGTTTTCAGAAGTTGCTGCGACCTTCGATATTTCAGCTCCAGTAGCAAACATGAATGTGCCAGCACGCACGACGCCTCTTCATGGCGTCCTCTACTGATGACAATAGGATCCGACACCTAACCCTTGCGGGAAGGTTGTTTTGTTCTTTCTTTGTATAGGATTAAAGTATGGGAAAAAGAGCCAGCGTCCCTACCCCTTTTCTGCACCCCCTTAACGACCATGGAAAGTATTGGGTAGATATGTTCTTCGACAGAGCAAGGAGCCCAACCACCGTTTAATACCAGACAACATGGATGGGTTTCTTCGCACTGTTGCTCCTTGCTGTTTCTGCCGTTACAGGTATACCCTTTCGAGCAGCTGGCACGTCTCAGGAGCTTGCCAGAGGAATACGAATCCCCCGAGCCAAAGCCATTCAAACCGAGGGTGGACCCATCTAGCTGGCTGGCGGACGAGCAGCACAGGGACCAATTCGTGCTGAGATATAGCGAGCCCCACCCGAGCGGGAAGCTGGTGAGAGCGCGTTCCACTTGAGCAACACGCCAAATCGTAATGTGGAGCAACGGTCCTGAGAAAGAAATGTACAAACGTCACTCGCTGGGCTGTCGTGGTCGAATCGAATAGTTCCACATTCCACACACATCTTCGTGGGCAAGCACTCAAATTGGTTTACATTGCTGATATTCCTTGCCCACGACGTGGTCGATAGGTACACGAGGCGGAGGTCATGTGGTCCGAGAAGCTGCAGACGCCCTCGCTGTGCTACGGTGGGGAGAGGGAAAAAGAGGCCGGCAAGGCATGGTAAGCGATGCCGTGGTGGTGCTATGCATACCATTTTCATTCAACTATTCGGCGATCGCCACATGTCGTTACGGAACATTGCTGTCTCATTGGGTGTCTCTATTGTGCGGCACGACCACAAATTCTGCAGTTGTCAGCGTTAACAGGCATACTTGTACTGGTATAAGTAGAGGCCCCAAGTAGAGTCCCGACCTACCTTAGGTAGGAGCGCAATTTTCAGGGCCAGATCACGATACAAGACTGGTACTATATTTGGTCAACAATGTCAGGTGTAAAAGGCTTCCTCATCGGTTTTGGCATGAATCGGTTGTTTATCATGATGTCGACGCTCACGGCCTTCCTCATTCTATGCATATGCGCGCCTGTAGGTGCGAGCTTTTCCTCATGTGGTCTCCGCAAGGCACATACCTCACCACATTCCACGTCCCCGGAATCGCACTGTGGGGTGGCGAGCGGTTCGAGAAACAAGGGCGTTTCCCCCACAAGGACGTGAAGGTGTGTGCGCTAATTAGATACGCCCGAAAAATTCTCAATCGCGATCAATCCTCAGCGAGTCGACCCCCAAGTATGGTGAACGTTGAATACACATGACTCGCAATTTTGGCCTCGAGATTGAATTTTTCAGGCCAAGAAATTGTCCATGGTCGTTAATCCAGATTGTTTTTTGCCAGTTAAAAATAGCCCATCGCTCCTACAGCAGATGATGGTATACGTTACCGACACTCTGCAAAACTCAGCTCCACTTCATGAACAACACCAAAGCCTAGCAAGTGCTCTGCAGTTTGACCCAAACCTGCTGGTTCCACAAGAACACGCTCAAGCACTCTTGGGACCAAGTCATTGAACATAAACAAAGTTGAGAGCTTTCGATATTGGTGTGAGCAGGGCTGTGCGCCGGATCGCCCGTGGCAGCTTGTGGACGACACGCGTGAAACAAAGCTCGAAGTATGTGTGATTTTTCGTCATCCTTTTTTTGTGGATTTTCAAGATGCATGTGACCCGTTTCGAAGCAACAGATGTCGATATTGCTTCGGTGAGACTGCCTCTTTCAGCCTCTAAGTGTGGGCTTTGCACTCTAGCTTCACCGCAGGCTAGTTGTTGTCCTCGAGAGCCTTCGTGTGCGTGTCCCATCTTGTCTCCGGTGCGCTCCAAAAAGGTACCAGGAACTCGTAAAGAAATACCCCCTCGTTTTTTTTCGACCATGGTTTTTTAGGGCGACATCTCTAGAATTTTTACCCATGAGAGCCTAAACGGGAGCAGCTGCCCCTCACCCCCAACGCCTTGGATTAGGGTGCCATTTTTGTGTTGTGTGCACAGAAACCGAGGTAAAATCACAAAGAGTAGATCTTCGAGTCCTAGGGAGAACAAAAACAATCGAGCAACAGGCCAAAACGTTCCAGGAAATCTATGTTCTCGGTCCGAGAATACGGAGAGATAATGTTTTCTTGGTGAATCCTAGATTACGTTCTATAACCAGGTACCGCGCAGTATGAAGGATAAACTCTGCACCTGGAGCCAAGTACTTGCTCCCAGTTTCTTGCCCTATTTTCAGTACAAAAACATTCGGCCACCGAGTCACAAAATCCCAAGAACAAAGTTCGGATGGTCGTTGGCCGTATTTTGCGGATCAGGAGCGGTGTACTCTCGAGGTCGAACTGTTTGTGCCTTGATGTGTAACGGTCTAACTCGTCGGCCAAACGCACGACAGGTGGTTGAATTTTCGCCTTGTGAGACATACGTCATGACGTGCAACTTCGAGCAAGGAGATAAGGCCATCATCGTGTGGGAGGTTCTCACCGGCCAGATGCTCCGCGCGTTCCCGATGGCAACGACTACGGCAGCAGGTGTGGAACGAAAATACGTGGATTTCGAGCAGGAACACCCCATTTCATGCGTGAACACACCAGAGAAACACATCATGGTAGGATCGAGTGCTAGCATCGCCGTTTGCTCGCTTTTGGATGATGACGCTAAGAACAAATGGGTCACACGAAGCATCCTTGGAGGGTGTGCTTGTGGAATGGGCGATGTATTTCTTTGCGAGTGCTGTGTGTGTTTTCATGCCATCTACTCTTGGCGCCAGTGTACAACTTTCGGTATTTGTTTGACGCGCCAGCCGGGCCACACTGGAAGCAGGTAAACACTGTTGTTTGTATTCTTTTATCACGGTCCCCCCTGCGGTGCTTGGGCTTTTGTTTCAATGCGAGAAGGGTTGCGCGTTTATTCCGTTTTGGGTGTTCAGCCAAAACTTGGTTGCGAATTTTGCATTCCATATACGTGAAGGTTCGAACGCGCAACTAGAGGTTACCATTTGAACCACCGGAGCGTCCAGCTGTTGGGGCACTTGATTCCGCTTGATTTGTACCGTCCGGGTGGGTTGTGACAACTGAAATTAGTTTCGTGACCTTGAAGTGTAAGGCAGGGAGGCACTGGATAGAGGTTTGCACGGTTTTTGACGTGTGGAGCAACAACTGTGCTTGTTTGTGTGCATATCAGGCTTGTAGGAGATAACACCCTTCTCGGTCTTGATGTCGGTGCACTCTCTCGACTCACTGTGTCCCCCAAATGATGCTGACCTTACCCGTATTTGTCCGTCGTAGATGGGGCTGCGTCTCTGTTCCGGTGGAGTGCCGATGGCAAGTACTTGGCGCGCAAGGGCAAGGACCTAATTTCCATCTACGAGCTCCCATCCATGCGCCTCCTCGACAAGAAGTCGTTGAAGGTACAGTACGAGGCTCTTGGTTGCCGCGTTTTCCTTCCGCAAGTTGCTCCAGCACGTTGCACCGAGCGCGTTGATCTGATCTGTGCATGAGCTGAATGCCCCGGACCCGCCTTACCGGCAACTGGTTCTAATTTCTATCTCTGGCAGGCAGAGGGTGTTTCGGACTTCGAATGGAGTCCTAAGGACAACGTGTTGGCGTACTGGGCACCGGAGCAGGCCAACGCCCCGGCGCGAGTTTCGGTGGTCGAAATACCTTCGCGGAAAGAGCTTCGCCAGAAGAATTTGGTGATGGTCAGCGAGTGCCGCCTGCACTGGCAGGTAACCACGCGGCTTGTTATCCCGTTGACTCAGTTCTCGTCGTATATCGTCATCGGTCGACAAGCTCAGGCTTGCGAAGGACAGCGGTAGAACAAACGATAGCAAGGGTACCGGCAAAGCTGCTCGTCCAGACTCCTGGCCTACCACTTGTCAGCGAGCAATCATAATTTTATTCCTGCGTCGTTCATAGGACAAGATAATGCCTCTTGAATATCCCGAGTTTGACCACAGGTTTTATGGGTAAGTTCCTCTTGTTTGGCAGGTACGCGTATCATGACTAGCATCTAACAGAGCAACAATTCCTCACAGTGCGTACGGTTGCCATGTGTACATCGGGCACATGAAACAGGTCTGATGCGCGTTTTGCTAACACGTCCTTGTGCATGGCGCATTGCTGCTCCTTCAGGATGAAGGAGACTACTTGTGCGTGAAAGTGCTTCGCCACTCGAAGTCGAAGAAGACGATGGTGAGACCGTGTCAACAACCTGGTTCCGTGTTGCCGTAGGTAGTATTTCGATGTTCCGCGGCTCTCGGAATTCGGTTTTGCTGATATTTCTGCATTTGCAGTATCATGGAACTCCCGCAACTATGCACATATAGGGACAGAGATTGGTATTAGCAACGTCTGTTTTGCTTTCTTTTGGAAAGTTGTGAGGTAAACGATGCCGAAAATGCCACCAACTGTTTGGTCTGTCTTTGATGCGTTGCCTCTACCGCTTTCCACGTGCGTAGTACAACAACTTCGAGATCTTCCGTGTGCGGGAGCCGCTCGTCCCGGTGGAAACCATGGAGAAGAAGCAACAGGTGGCGGCGTTCGCTTGGGAGCCGGCTGGTGATCGGTTTGCACTGGTTCTGGGAGATGTGCCCAAGCTGGAGGTCACCTTCTACACAATGAAGGTTCGGGCGTTCAATGTGTTGAGAAGCCAAGTGGCACCCCCTGGCATTTCCGTTTGTGTGATATATCAATGGTATACTTTTTACACACGCCCTTCTTTCATCCGTTTTGTTTATCAGGGGGGCGCGGGCAAGAACGAACTCCAAGAGCTCGAAACCCTTCAAGACAGGCCCTTCAACCACATCTACTGGTCGCCGATGGGAAATATCTGCCTTCTGGCGGCAATGGGGGACGACGTGGGGCCTCACAACGGTCGGCTGGAGGTAAGTTGTTTCTACTATTTTGTCGACTTGCCGTCAACAAAAACTGTAAGACAAACCTCTGCTCTCGAGCGTAGGTTTCATGTGAAATATTTGGCTACCAGACCGCGCATTGCTATCCCATCAACGAAGCCGTCGGACCAGGCCCGGTTTTAATGGTGTCCCTGATGCATTTGTTACTGTTTCCTGTCGTATCAAATGGTCTTGTCGCGAATCGGCAGTTCTACGACGTGGAGAACCAATCAACTCTGAAGCAGACCGAGCACTTCAGGTGTAACTACATAGAGTGGGATCCTTCAGGCAGATACGCATGCACCGCTGTATCACAGCCTGTGACGGGTAGCCACTGGAAAGCTCAAATGGACAACGGCTACCAGCTCTTCTCCTTCCAGGTATGCATAGACTCTGTGTAAGATCGGTCAGTTTCGTACATTTTGTCTGCGAAACGAGTTGCCTGTTCGTACATGACGGGTTTATTGTCCTCCCGGGCACAAACTGTTGCTTTGCATTACCAGGCGCTTGCCAGTCGGCGCGATTTTGTTTCGGACAATGCTCGATGGAATAGATCCTACAAATATCCAGGCGGTCCCAGATGCACAAACAACATTGCGATATTGGATGTTGTTTTCACGCAGGGAGAGAGGTTCCACGAGTTCAAGAAAGACAACTTCTACCAGATCCAGTGGCGCCCTCGGCCAGCCTCCCTGCTTACCTCAGCCGAGAAGAAGAAGGTCGTCAAGAATCTGCGGAAGGTAAGTTGTTTCGTCCATTTTCCCGCATGTATGAATGACCCCGTTATAGACTGCCAACTTAAATTATTGTCTTTCACGTTCCCAATCCAATGGAGTTCTATGGCCTTGAACGTTGGTTGAATGACGACACCCGTATGCTCCCTCCTCCTCGCTAATTGCTATGACAGTACGAGAAGCGCTTCGAAAAGGACGACAGGGAGAAGGACCGCCGGAAGGCCCGGGAGGCCATGTCAGACAAGATCCAGATGAAGCTCGAGTTCCGGCAACAGGCAAGCGGACTGTCACTCGTGACATATACAACTTTGTGCGTTCCGGAGACTTCAGTCATGCCTTCATGAACGACCCTACGGTAGTTTTTTGAACGGCAATTTCCCTTGGAAATGTGCATGTGCCTCACGCGTAATACCTGTCATTCGTTGGATGTCCCTTGACCTCTGCTTTGCAGGTAGCGGAGATGAATCTCCGGCTAGAGGGCCGCAGACAGGAGCTCGTGGACCTTCGAAACGGATACGACTCGGACGATGAGTCACACTACGTCGTGGACAGTCGGACGGGGGAAGTAGTATTGAGCGTGAAGGAAGTCATCCAGTAAGTGACGGAGGCTCAAGAGCGGGTGGCCTCGTTTGTGTGGACAAACTCATTCGTCCCAAAGAGAAGCTGGACGGACGTCGTACAGAATGATGCGTTCGACAAGTCGTGTTAACTACAGTAACTACAAAGTCCTTTTCAGTACGTGCTTGGCAGGTCGGCGAACTTGAAGTGGAGGTGTATGCATATACGTTAGATATGTCATGTCTCCCAGTGGTCCGACTAAATTGTTTTTCCCGCCGTGACGGAAATCACCTGTTTTCGTTGGATCTTGCAGTTGTTACTCTGGTAACGAGGTACATGGTGTAGCTCTTGGTTCCAGGACGTGTGTGAGGTTGATGTCGAAGTTGCACTTTAAGTTTCGGCGATATAGTTGCGCACGAATGTCTTACAACGGGCGCCTCGACTCTTGGAAGTTGCTGAGCGACTCGAAAAATTGGAGTATCATTGGAAGTCCAAATCCCAAGGATTCACAAATGGGAGAGCAAGTACCCCACATGTATGTGTACGGGGAAAAGTCGGGAAACGAACGGTCTTGCAGTGATACCGGAGACATCGTGACCTCTCCCGGAGAGTACCTCCCCACACACAATTAAATCATACTCTTCGCGCAATGGTAAAGGATGCCACGAGTGAGTTGTGTTTTCGTGCCACTGAGAAGTAATTCTTATTGTCTTACTTATCCTACTTGAATCCGCACGGAGGTCGTTTTGAATGCTGGGATGCGCTGATTCCAGGAGAACGGGTTGTGCTTTCACGAGTGAGTGCCTCGCGACAGTTTACGTAGGATATTGAGAGTGTTTGAAAGTACCTTGTTCGAAATGTGTAAACGGTAAACGGGGCGCCGAGTAATCTGTGTTTTCTTCCATATCGCACGAGGTGCCTGAAACAACAAATAATTAGTGACCGAGCGTTTGTTACCGCGTTTGGATATAACATGCTCTGAACGCCGAGTTGGCGCCAGGTGTGCGCGAGAAAACAAAATGGAACTTCGCGGGGTCCCCTACTTCTAATTTCTTTTCATATGGAACAAAAATAATTTCAAAATACACGGCAGCATGTGTTACGGTTAGGAAGGGGATGAAGAGGGCGGCCGATCGGTCTCTTGGCCTGGTCTTTTTTTCTTGTGCAGGAAGAATAGTTCACATTCAAAAGTCATGTTATTTGGTATTATGAAGTATACATTGTTACTCGCGTACACAAGAGATGGGGGGGGAGTAACAAACAAAAACAGGTTCTTTTTTAAAAGTCTTGGGGGCCACCCCGTCGATCCTCTTTCTTCCTCTATCTCTCTTGCTTCATGATCGGCGATACGTCATGCGTTCTTCTCTCCAGAAGAGTGTACCACGCGCGTGGCACTGAAAGTACATTGGATTTCCGGAGTCACTACTACTTCAGAATTCTACAATCATTAGGAAAACATAAATACACACACACACAAAGACAACCCATTCGAGATATACCCACCCACAGTCGAACGGACTGTGGAACGTACATGTTATTGAATGATACTCTAAATTCTGTGTGATGCATCGGACATACGTGCATGGTACAAGCAAGTACACGACATCGGGGGCTACTCAAATGGTACAACCGCCCGACCCCCCAACCAATTTTTAAAAAACATGTCCATCTGATCTGTCATCTTATGTCATATCGCCCCGCACCCTGCACCTTGCTTACCCAGAACCGGGAAGGGTATTACCGATAGCTCCCAAGTGACGAACAATCATCATGGGAGAGCAACACCTTCTACTCGACATTCTGCAAGAGGATGTCCCAGTTCAAGACGTCAAGAGTTGGTTGGACGACGCGTTCCAGGTATCTGTGTGGCGTTTCAGGTGGTGTCCTGTTCCCAATCATGAACAAGTTACCTCGTGATGAACTGCGGGTGATCGAACAATCTTTGGCACATGTGACGTATGCTTGACCCTGACCCTGGATACAACACGTCACAAATGGTGTATTGCTGCAGGGCGTTCATGAGGCTGCGAATGAGGCGAAGTCGTCAAAATTCAAACAGTACGATGCGCTGACGTTCGTGGTGACTGTCCTTAATTTCCTTCGTGAGGATGCCGCTCCGCTGCTCGCGCCGAGCGTTGAGCGTTCTCACCAGGTGGCTGACCACTCGTTACCAGCGTCTGCAGTGAAGGAAAGCGCACCAGGTTAGTGGGGAAACGATATTTCCAGCTATTGGTGGTGATGGATGTAGCAGTAGAATGTGTACCTCATCTGTTGGTGGGTCGATAGACACCACATGCAACTTGGATGTTGACAGAACACTGCCATAACGCGGAGACATGTCAACTCAGAGGTGTACCGCAGCGCTCGATCGCGTAAACCAGTTTGGCTTACCGGACCCCCCTGGGAAGAAGTAGCGAGTGGCGCGTGAACTCTCGATCCAATCTCTTATGTCGAATCTCGTTCGTGTCTGTTCTGTGTGAGCAGATGTGCCCAAGAATGAGAGGAATGAGAGTCAACCAAAGGGCCTTTTCCCGACAACGGCGTTCGACATCTCGTCTGCAGATGACTTCCCTGCCCTTCCAATGGGTGAAGTCCCTCGCGGTTTGCGTCCGGTGAGATTGCTTCGTGATGTGTATGCCACCGTGAGGGAACATATTATCACTGCACTTTGCTGGGTGTTTGTTTTGGTTCCGCCCCAACGCGGGCGGACCCCCTTCCGTCAACCGGGCGAGACTCGTAGAACCAACCGTTTGGCGGGCCGCAGCCACAGAGAATGAAACCCTACAATGGAGGACCGTTTTGACACATGAAGCAAAGCTGTGTCCTAAGAACTCTGTCTCGCTGTGTTCTGTACAGTAGATGCATATGGGGTGCGTGTGTTTGTCTTTTACTTTTTTGGTTATTTTCTATTTTCAGTATCGGGGACACCATAAATTACGCTGAGAGTTTCGGAGCTCATGCTATCCTTACCGCCACCGCCGTTACAATCGACGGCTAGCGATTGTGACCGCACCGCGCCCGAAGATGTAGTCGTAGATTCGGCGGCGGTGGCGGCTGCGGCGGGCGCGCTTGCCGGAGCACCGGCAGCCGCCGCCACCCCGGCGGTACTTGTATTTATTTTTGTCTTCAAATCAGCGCTCACAGCACTTGTGCCGTTTACTCCGACCCTGGTCACACTGAAGGGTTCCTCTCCCTGAGGTTCCCCGCCCACCCCTCCTGCGGAACTTTGCCTTCGATTTTTAATGCGAGAAGAATGCACCACTCTCTTTCCCGCTGTGTACACACGAACTACTGCAGCGCTTCCCACCCAGGCCACAGGAACGGAAGCGAGAGAGAACTCACCTTGCAAGAAAGCTCGCTTAGGCCGGGATTCGAACCTCTGACCCTGGCCACTTTTAGAAGATTTTACCAACTAGACTACTGGGGCGACCGGTATATGTTCAAGAATTGCAACTTTCAAAGTAAATCCACGGGTGGCCCGCATGCGTTTCTTTTTCTGGGGAGAAAAACACAGGCTAAGGCATGATTCTAACACAACAACCCCCGGCGAAATAAGGCACAGACCTACAGCAGATAGACTTTTACCTATAACGCGGTTATCTAGCGCTTGTAAGTGAGTCACAAAGGCCCGAGTGTTTCGTTTTTTCTTGCCCGATCAACACATCACCAGACCAACTGACACTGAAGGGAGAGAGCAGAAGCAGGTGTTCCCGAGACCGTCTTGGTTGCGCAGTAACCTTCTGTTTTTCTTGTCCGTTGAACGCGTACCAGTTGGCTCGGGCTGTTACGCACTTCTTTTTCCGTTTGTTTTTCCGCCACTCTGCCTTCGTGCAGGGGTTTTTCTGCCTGCGCGCAAGGGAACTTAGAGCCAAATCTTAATTCGAGCGAAGCGAGATTTCCAATCTGGCCTGAGGTCTCAGAGCAATATGGCGCTCCATCAAGAACAATATATATCTGCGCGTGTCTGTTCGCTTTGTCTAGGTTTTAGACCACATCACTTGGTTTTAAAGGGGGTTCAGCAGACCGCACTCGACCACACAGCAGATTGCAGCTATTGCATCTGCAGAACACACGCACAGCAGACAACACACACTCAGCGGGCACAGCGACACACGCACAGCGGGCAGAGCGAGTACAGCGAGCGACAACATACATCGGCCAGCGAAATAGAGGGAGTAGCAGTTGTGAGCTCATGGCAATTGAATGAATAGACGTCCGTAGCGGTCGATCGACCCGAACTCCCTCCGTGAAGTAGAGGCGCACACGGACTCCCGGCGCGGACAAAGCCGCGGGGAGAAGGAGTCCCTAGGCAGCCCACAGCTTGACGGGGCGAGAGCTGCTGCTCGTCAGAGGACTGCCGCCAGGCGTGCGAGGGAGACCGATGGAGCACGGACAGAAAGGTGCGTTGGTGCGTGTGGGCGATTGCCCGATTGCCTCAGAATTGAACTACATAACGGCCCCTTTTTTGTCTTCTTCCACACACACACAGCACACACAGAACAAGTCGTACGCACGGCAGGGTACAAACGGCATGAACCTGGACGGGCACGAGCGATCACACCGCATATGGCACGAGCGATCACATAGCATAGGGCAAAAACACAGTGAATTCTCTCTCTCTCTCTCTCTCTCTCTCTCTCTCTCTCTCTCTCTCTCTCTCTCTCTCACACACACACACATACAGGCTGCGGGCGGACCGGCAGAGAGCCGCCGCTAGGCGACAGCGTAGGCAGCCGCCGACACCAGAACAGCGGGCGGCTATCCGAGAGAGAGAGGCTCCGAGGCGCCAGCAGCAGACACCACAGCAGCTGGCGGCTAACCGGGAAAGAGACGCTGCGAGGCGCCGGCGGGAGACACAACAAGCGACAGAGGCCAGATTGCACGACAAAGTCAATTGCAAACAAAATGTCTCTTTTCTTGCAATCACACGCACTTCCTCTCGTGGACGCACACGTCTGACGACAGTTGCATGTATCAGCTATCGCCCGACTGCTGTAATCTTTCGTTCATACAAAGTCAAGTTGGGCGCTTGATATATGGACATGTCTGGTTTCCTCGGTTTTGTGCAAGCTTCGCGGACCCTGCGATGATTCTCGGGCTGCGCGATTGCTACAATTCGTGATTGCCTCGGGAGTAGTTTCTTGGGTGCCAAATACGAGGGGCGATGCAAGGTGCAAGGAGAAAAATGAAATATGAATTGCGTGCTATGCTCAGTTCCTTCTAACATCCGTACCAGGTCCAACGGACGCGGACGCCTTGGTCACAGACCAACTACCCCAAAACGGGCACACAATTATAGAAATCAAAGAACGGCAAAAGAGCTAGACTTAGAGAATCCTCTAACACGATAGCATCACAAAAGCTAACCGGGAGACAAGCGAACCGGGAAAAAGCGAGGAATAGAAACTGTGTAGACAGAGGATCAAGGTAGAGAGTAGATTCGATGTGTGTGCTAAGGTATCAATCATCCCGACCGGATGCTACACCAACGCCACGTCTTCCTGTGTCGACATATGTATGTTCTACTACCGGAGCATGTTTCTCTCGTGATCGCCAAGAACGACGTGGTGGCGAGGCCCGTTGGATTGTCGGCTCGGTAGATACAAGCAAGACGACACGTTACTCTTTTTTGGCAGGAGAGCCAAAAGCACCGAGTCTGGCCGCCGGCGTTGAGCGACGGCTCTCCGCACAAGGAAGGTTTCATCGTCGGGTTACGTTTGCTTCGGAGAAAAAGTACAAACAAATCAGTTTTAACTGTCAGGCGAATTGGTCAAAAGCTGCTCTAAACCGGCCGACAGCCGCCGGAATGCAGATGCTCTAATGTTTGTTTATCTCTACGTGTTCCGTATAGCAGCTACGATTTGTCCCGTGTGCTCTACATGACTCAATCACTTTCACTACCCCGCCTTGCGACACTTGGACAGACAAACAAGCAAAAAAGGCGCATTCGACCAACACCCTTGAGCAACGCGGACAAGCCCATGGAGGTGAGAGAGATATCAACATGAGAAACATGCAGAGATGGGTCTGAAACTTCTTCTTTGCGGAGTACCCAATATGGGATTAGTTGGCTTGAGGATGTTGTTCCGATCGGGCTGAGGTGTTTGGACCGGAAGTAATTCCTCCTGCACTGAAAATGGTTTACGATTGGTTATCGCAAACGAACGGCAACGGTACTTTCTTCGCCACTGCTTGATTTTCGTCATGTGCCGGATTTGGTGCGCAAAGTCGAAACTCTTTTCATGTCTGAGAATTAAAAGAAGTTCCGTTTCCAGTGCCTGCTTTAGTCCTGGTTGGGCTACAACTTGTCGTCGGGTGCAAGCGAGGTTACACTTGACTGCAGTCGCTTTTTCCGCAACGTGGTGAGACGAACTGGTGGCTGAAATGCAATATTTGTTCGTTGAACGTGTTGGTACAAGTATTTACTTTAAGCCATGTGTGCTCAAGTTGGCTCGTTGCCACGCCTGAGCCAAGCTCAACCACCCTCTCGCAATTTAGTCTGAGTCGAGTCGTTGGCGAATATGGCGTTTCTAACCCCTGCAGCAGTAGCGACCTTGGACTCAGCGGGTTGGTGTTAGCCAACTGCAACGAACGGTGTCGGAAAGCGAACTTCAGCACAGCGGTTGTCTTCTTACCAGCTCTCACTTTCGCTGGTGGCATGAATATACGGTGGTTCTGGCTCGTGCGTGCTGCAGGGAGACATCACCGCATTGGGTGCTATAAATACTGCAGCGCCTTCGTTCGTCAAGTCAGGCGAGGTTGCAAATGCCCGCCTAACATTTCGTGCGCAAGGCGTACCACCATCGGTTGAAACGGCGGAGTTTCGACCGAGCACGACCTTTAAAGAAGAGAGGGCGAAAGCAAAGATCGTGCATAAGTCAAGTGACATTCTACCGGGAGGTACGAAGCCGCGCGCTGATCTGGCGATCGAGCAACATGATGCTGAAGGTGAGACATTCGTGTGAAAGACCTATTGTGTCTTAAGGGTAGCGTGCACGAGGTTTCTCCCTTTGCTGGACTGGTCCAGGTACTAGTGCCCTTGGACCACCCAAGAGCGCAGCTTGCTTATAATGTTATTGCGTTCTTGCTTATGTCCTCGATAATTTTATGGAAATCCATGCCCCACGGATAAAGATTGAAATGTGACCTTCCTCCGCGCAAGGTTTCGGTGAAAATGAGGGAGGGATCACAAATCTTCGGGAGGCAACATCTGGTTCTTTACCGGAGCCGGCTCATCCGGAACAACGAAGGTTTCTGGAGCAAGGTGGTGCGGTTGGAGCACCCTCCAGAATGCCAATCGAGCCGATGACTGGTGAAACTGAAAGAGCGGGGAGACGTGCAGATGGAGCCCGTACCGAGCATAGCCTCTTCCCCGAAAGCACCGCCGCATCGAACCCCATGCTATCGCCTTCAAACGGTGCGGCGAAAACCAATTCTTTGTTGCAGACTCCGACAAGGTCAGCCAAGGCTGTTCCCATATCACCATCTGGTGGTGGAGTTGCTTCCCGGAGCGGTTGCGTTCCACCGATGCCACCAGTCAATACGCCGACATCATTCGCAACTCCTGTTGAAAAGGTGCGACACCCTGACATGAATGGGCACCAGTCTGCGAATTTTGATGTCACCATGGGGGGTGCCACTCGTGGTTGTGTTTTTCACTCCAAGCGTGTAAGGTGATTTGCCATGAACAGCTCGTCGGGCTTGGGCGACGTAGTCGTTTATCAGTGGATGCTGATCTGAAACTAAATTCTAACGTATTACTGTGGTCTTCATTGGTTTACGACGCAGGGGCGCCTGCCGGGAAGTGAGCAGTCCCTCGCCATCTTGGCATCGCTGTATGTGCACATCATGATCCGAAGATTTGTGCCAAGTCTGGCAACGGAGATGCACCTTACAATACGGCTACTGCACGTGCACTCGGAGGTTACACGTAGCGGGGGCGATAGGACCTTGAAATTCAAGCAGGACCGTCGGGAGGATAATTCACCAAGCGGCAGCTCCGCAATTAGCTCAAAGGAAATCAGAGATGGCCAACATGGAACGAGTGACAAGCCCGGGATGAAGATCATCTTCAAGACCGGCCTGGACTGTCGGTTGTTCGCTGCTGGTGTCCTCCTTGGGCTCAAGTCTCTGCTCCCTCACATTGGAACGGACACGATCGACCTCTTGGCTGAAAGTTTGGCCCTTGCTTCTCAGGTCAACATTACGTCTTTCGGGCAGTTGATGGAATATCGGGAGGTTTGAATTGCTGCACTCTATTAAGTACTATCAGCACCGCTTGGAATTGCGTTCGACTGGTGCTGTGGACCTCACACCCTTTTGGGTACTTGTTTACGAAGCGTTTACTCATGACATGTGCCCATTTGATGTGCTTGAACGCCTGTTCGATTGCACTGTTCTTGTCGTTTTGGCCAGTCGGAGGAGCTCATCGAAGACTTGCGCCATGTTCTCTGTGAAGCTAAAGGTGACGGTGTCCACTCTGACGGCAATGGCTCACGGAATGTTGGGCAGCAAAATGCCGATGATACGGCCATCGTGCAGAGTGTAGGGGCACCGTTTGCTGCTCTCCAATGGCGGGAGGAAGACTCGATAAAGAATTGGAGGTGTGGAGAATCCGAATGAGGGTTGTGGTGTACCCACTATTTACTTTTCGGTCCGACCTTGTTCTTCCAGTAGCCCCAATAGAGAGGTCACATTCCCACTTGAGCCCTTGGTTTTCTGAACCTGTGGATCGACCGCACTTTCCTTGAATCAACTAACCTAGGACAATATCTGACCGAAGCATGTTCCAGAATCGCCAGGAGAGTGTCGACCGGTTCGGAGCCTTGCTTCGCGACTACCAGGGTTCCAAGAAGGGGCTTCAGCAATACCCGGATCGTGCTCTGCAAGATCTAAGGTGCTGGGGTGGTTTCTCCATTTCTCACCAGCGATGAGGCGTTTGTCGCTTTGCTTCGATGGCAAGGGTCCAGGAAGCAGGGGATGCTTTCACCCAGCATTCGTGTTCTTTCAATCCCGATCAGGCACTGCTTGCCCCTGATAATCTTGACCTATGCATAGTCGCTTTCAACTATGATGCCGTTCTTGTCGTTTTCTTTTTTTTGGTGCCGGTGCGATCCTGTGGAGTAGAACAGCGGCATCTGCTTTGATAAGCGGTCTAGCCCCGGAAAATTTGGGATGGCTTGCTCAGTACTTTCTGGATCAGCTGGTCGGGTGGGGTCTTGCTCCTCCAGAGGAAACTGACTCCGAAGTAATGGCGCTTGTCGCTCCCGCTGGGGACAAGGGCCGTGCGACTCTGCAGAAGCTTCATCGCCGCATCAGCACACCTAGCTCCGGCGAGGTAAGCGGACAAAACGAAGACTCTGCGGCAGTATAGCGAAGACTAATCGGCAATGCGTGTCGCATAGAGAAGCTAGTCACGAATATGACGAGTACGGTCCAATCGATATTATTTTTCGCGCTTGTTGCGTCCGGCTAGGTGGTGGTTCCTCCCTCTCTAGTTGCACACGACTGCGCCTCCCGTGAAGCGCACATAGTGTCTGCTTGAGTGAAGCCGCCGTAACTTCGTTGATCCGAAAAGAAAATAAACGTTCACGCTTTCCTGCACATACCCACTATCAGACGGCCATGCCCTCAGGTTTTTGCTTGCAACTGTCGTGACTACTCGCTAGGCATGGTTATCGCCAGAAAAGATGTCGAAGCCTTGGCGGTACTGACCAAGTTAGGAGCCCTGTCAAACGTTTCTAATCTCGATTCCTCTAGGTATCCTCACCAAGAAACGCTGCAGCGTTTGGAGAATGGTTCAGCATGTTACGCACGTCTACAGTAGTTTGTTCCTTTTTGTCATGCACAATTTTTGCTGTGTTTTCCTGCCGCCATAAACACAACTGACAGGATGGCAACGCTTTGAAGAGTAGCCAGAAACTTCGGCATCCTGGGACACAACCTCGGCAAACACATGCTAAACAAGATCGAGGCTCTCACGTTGTCGGAGGAATCCGTACAGCCAAGGGAGGAGTGCGACAACCACAGTCTCGCAAGTCCAGCACGGGCCCACGGTATGGCAAGGGTCAAGCTCCAGCACAAAGCACACGGGTTCCGACGGCCCCATTGCAGCTCCGCTGGTTCCCCGGCAACCAGGTGGGATGACTTGATAACAACCAAATGAATATGATCATGGGGTGCACGTAGTCTGCTTCATCATGGACACGCGCGCGCCTGTGTCCCTTTCGATCTTCGTCAACGGAGATGCCCTTGCATGCTTGCTGGTCGTGCGTGGGTTGTGGGGCGCAACAGGAATTTTTCTACCACGTGCTGCTGGTGTTAGATAGTTACACCTTTAACAGCCACTTGAAGGCAGAACTCGTGGCAAAGATTGCTAGACTTTATCAGCAACTACACACCTTCAAGGGACGGCGAACGAGAGTCGGAAACGTCGACGAACGTGGCGCGGCGAGCGACACGAGCAGCCCAGCAGTCAACAAGGGCGTCAGAGGGTTCACGGGAACCATGGTAAAATTAAAGGTGCGCCGAATGTGAATGAAGTATGAAAGGCTACGCCAGCTACGACACGATGAGACCGTGTTTGCGGATAATCTCTGCTTTGAGCATCCTAGGTCATCCGCATTCGACATGACATTCGTGCGTTCACGTTGTACCGGACTGGTTCGGGCCCGGATTGTATGCAGCATACAGTATGTTAACGAACCCGCAGAGGATCCTGCCTCAACCTATGCCAGCTTATTGGTCGGCGTGGATATCGAAGTGCTGCAATTTGTTTGACTCAATAAGTAGGTTAGTCACATTTAATCACATTCATGGGTGTTTCTTTTCACAGGTGCTCGCGAAGTTTCTCGGCCTCTTGACCTTTAGTCCCAACTGGGGCATTTCAGCCTTAGACTCCACGTCAAGTAGGCACGAGCCTCCTTTGGCATCCGCGAATGAACAGGTACGACTCGAAAAAGGGATCGCGTTCGTTTTATAGGGCAAGTTTCGAGCATTGCTCCAAGTGCCTAAAACTATAGTAGGCTGCAGGTACAGGAACTTGAGGTCGCCATGTTCACCACAAGACAAGAGCCGTGAAAGGTCACATTTCATTCGAGCGTGGGGCGACCGATGCGCCATGCCAATGGGTATCCCGGAGACCAGTTCCACGCAGTGCATGAGAATTATCTTCCCTCGTCTCTATTTTGTTGGTTTCTACCTGGGTTCACAGGCCCATACGACAGGCTGTCCGCTACCCCTGGAAGCGTACCTTGACCACGCTTGGTCGACGGCTGGACTTATGGGTGCTGTGCCATGGATGGCGGACTTTCTGCGGATGATGAAATGGGATGAAATTTCTGCGCAGGTGACTACGAACATCTGCTTAGCTTGTCAGGCGATTGCCTCTTGCCCCCCTGCTCTGCGTTTCCCCTTGATATTTTGTTCTGTGTTTACGGCGGGTGCAGGTGTACCAATCAAATTTTGTTGCTTTTGCAGTCCCGCATCGTTGACTTGTTTCCTCACCTACCTAGATGAAGTTTTTCGAGTTTGGGACGAGGTCTACAACGCAGGTGAAATGGGTAGATGCTGGGAACGATGACATTGTCCGATCTTCGTCTTGCACGATGCAGGCCAATTCCTATCGACGTATCCTGGGCACTTTGGCGAAGCTCCACGCTCAGCCATTCATGCAGCCTGACCATCCTGCTTTCACCGAGTCCCTACTTGCCGTGAGCTGCGAGGTGATGGAACTCCGATCGCGCGCCCGATAAACTTATGAATCGCTTTCACCATGCTACTACACCTGCCTGTGCTTTTTTGATTGATAAGCTTTCTCATTGCATATTGATGTTTCATAAAAACCATTGGCGAATGCATTCGGCCAGGGTGACGTGCGTTTGCAGGAATTCGCTGTTTATTATTGGTAAGGAACGTGAACGATGAATTGCTTTCTACTAAGCTCCTAACGATACCCCCGTGTCACGGTGTCATCTCGATACGACCGGCTTTGCGCCAGGGACCAGATCCTGAACGTTTTATGTGTTTACCCTGTGGTGTTCCTCTCAGGTCGAGAGTCTGTTCCAAGATTTGGGTTCTGATCTTGGTGTGCACGGGTATCGCCTGTTTCCCCCAGAAACCACTACCGTCATCGACTTTGGTGCCCCGAGAGATTGCGGCAACCAATACACGAAGCTTCGCGATAAACAATACGCAACCCTGGAACTGAAGTCTGCACCTGGATCGTTGGATGGTGAAGTGGTGCTGAGCCGCCGCCTCATACAGCACTGCTGCCCTTACCTGGAAGATGTCCTGACCTTGACAAGAAACCTTGGTCGGGTGTGGAAGCAAGGTTTCGTTGTTGGAGGAAACACTACCCCGCTCCGGGCGGGTCAGTCTCCACGAACGTTTGGGGTGAGCGGCACAAGTCCTCGCAGTAGACGGGTCATCAAGCCGCATCCGTTGAAACCGATACGCGCGCTGCCGAGCCTCCCTGAGCAGATACATCGTGGACGTTCGGATGAAAACGCTGGAACAGTCCGAGAAAGCGCTCACACCGAGAGTGCCCGCCTTCGATTGGTGGAGGCTTTTTTTCACTCTCTGCCGGGCGAGTTGCAGGCATCCGCTGATTTTGTCGTCAGTCGTGCCGTGCAAAATGCGAGCGAGGAGGTCTTGGTGTCGGTCGTTAGGCCCGCGGTGGCTGCTGCAGTCAGACGACTTCCAGTGGCCTTCAACCAGACCGATAGGCTGGACTACGAACGGCCCGCATCAAACACTTTGATGGGGGCCTCCAACGAGGCAGGCGAAGGACTTATCAGGCAGCACCTTGACCAGCAACTTGCTTGGACAACAGCTGCTCTTGGTGAGGGCCTCGCTTCCAACGCCAGGGCTCTTGCTGGAAACCGGGGCAACGCTATCGCCAAAGCTACCACGTTAGCGCTTGTTCCGCGTTCGCTCTCACTCAGGTACCACAAGCTCTGCATTGATGCTGGCGGTTGTGTGTGGTGCGAAGTTCCGGTAGAGGTTGGCAATTTCCTCGTTACAATCGGGTGTGATGTCTGTTGTTGCCCAACGCTGCACGATAGTTATCCACCACAGTTCCTAGTCAGACGTGTATTGGCACCACTCATTTGCCGAGATAGGTGGAAAGGTCTGAGCCTGTTGCTGATCTAACCCTACGTTTTGCTTGCTTGCCTTTGTCGGAATGGACCATGACAAATTTACACAATGCTCTTGTCGAATGTGGCAGGGTTCGTCAGACGGCGGCGGCGATCGCTGGTCACCACGCACAGCAAGCAGCTGCCAGCAAAATCGAGGAACTGATAACTGCCACGGTAACGCTTCGTTGTTTGTACGGAGCAAAAAGCGTTTGTGTGGGTAGATGTCTGTCTAGGGTTGTGAGTGCGGTGTCCTTGACTACCCGGCCATCGTTGAGCCAGCGTACATGCCTATCTATTGAGCAAGTGCGCTTGGTCGCGATCCAGTTCTCGCGGCACCTGACGGCGGTCTGTTCTCCACCCATGATGCACTTCCATGCAGGTTTTGGAGGCGGTGAGTGCGTACCACAGCGACCTTGAACGGGCTCAGAAGAAGCAGCCGACAGGTGGTGTGGAATGCCGGAGCCCCAAAAGCCCGGAGGTACTCGCAAGCCTGCTTCCTAGAGATCCAGCATCTGACCTATGTGCAATTGCATCGAAGCTATGTGCTCATGTCGACAAGTGCGAAGGTCACAGAGAGCGAAGGTTTTTAGAAGCGGTGCACCGCGTGTCCATCAGCAGCACCGACGACGATATCGAGTCAAACGACCCAAAAAGCATCATTGGCGAGACGTGGCAGCTGGTGGACGCGGTTCGACGGTGTCGAGATTCCAGTGGTATCCCAGAAACCATTCACGACACCCACGATGTGTCTGAGGAACTTGAGAGGACACCGGCGCAAAGGTTTCGTGATCATGTGACACAGGATCCAAACGTCCTGGAAACCTTTCTGGCTTCGCTGGCACTCTTCTACCGGACGTTGCCTGACTGCATTTGGCGACCAATTCCAAACAGTTCCACGCTGGGCTCCATGTCAAGTGACGTTGTTGGAAATCTGGTTCACCTTGCTGCAAGGGCATGGGAACGAAACGCGAGATATTGGCAGAAGGACAAGGATCCCGGCCAAGAACGTTGCCTCCGTTTCCCCCCTTGCGAGCCTGTACTACAGCTCATGTTGTGGGGCGCTATTTCTGTTGTCACTGCGGAGAATGTACTTCTGTCGTGTATACAAACCGCGACTAGGGGATCTACTTCGCAAACAGGTGTAATGTGTCCTGAAGCACGTTGGGATGAGACGAGCCCGTCATCTGTGATAGCCGTGGCCACAGCTGTTGTGAAGGGCTACCATAGCCTCGCTCTCGGCAAGGATTTGTGGACGGTATTCCTCGACGATCTTTTGGACGTTACGGCAGGCTCGGTACCTGCCATGGACCTTTCCAAGCCCTTCCGCTACCACCCGATGGACCTTTGCCGGCTTATTGCTCGTCTGTGCCGAACTTAGGAATAACGATAGCTGGTACATTAGTTTAAAAGCTTTTCTCTCGTTGAATTTACAGTTCACACATTGCTTTTTGGTCTTAACCATGGCATTTACGATGCCTACGTTCAATCAGAGGGAGTAGTTTACCTCCGACTCGACATGTGAACGTGTAAATGTAGATAAGTTGCCTACCTGCCATAAAATTGAAACCCCGTTGTCCGATATATATCCATCATTCCCCGTCTCGAGGCCAGGAGGACAAGCCTGCCAACGAGAGGTTCGGGGCACACCTCTGCCACGTGCTCCGTGATAGATTACTCCACCACCGTGTTTGGACGGAAAAATAATTTATTTGTTCTTGTTACTCGCGCGCGCATATATATGTTTATTGTCGGGGCTTCTTTGACAATACAGTTGTGATACATAACTTTATATATTTGTTTGACATTGGCTTTACGAATCTCTACGCTCTAGGTGTAGTAGCACACGACGAGTGGGCACCTTCTTCGCTTTTACCTAGGATGAGAGGTCGTGCCCGTGGTTTCAACTGGGATGAGCGGTCGTGTCGTGCCCGTGGTGTGCTGTACAGCAGCATAGGGCCGTCGAAATTGTTTTGGCGTGGCACCACAGTAGTGAACGTATGTATGTAGTACAAAGTAGAAGTAACATAGTAATTACTCTGGCACACATCATCATCATCTGTCGCTGATCAGTTCACCCGCAGATGATGCGTGCGACATCGAACGCTGTAGGATGCACCAACAATAAAGCGCGCGTACGTTTTGCACGCACTCCACTGGTTTGTCGTGGTTACATGCATACATGTGCATATACTGAAGTTTGTGAGTCTTTTTATCGTCTGTGCTCTCCCCATCAAATTGAGTATTATTTGCCTATGGTCGTCAGTCTGTACCTACCACTTTCTTCGTGACCAAAACGTCGTCGTAAGGAAGGAACAAGCGGAGAGCAATACGTCTTCAGCTGCCCCCCATAGACCGCTTCCAAAGGGTGTAAGGGGAGAAGCCGTGCCCCCAAGCCCCCATGGAGAGAGTAGAGAGGAATATGTCATGCTCGCAAGTGAATGGAGACCCCCCGGAGGAAACAACAGGGGCGTACCATCACTAGTGCCAGGAGCCATTTCCAAGCTCCTAGCAGAGCTCGATCTACAATGTAGCGTCGGCAGGTCAATAAACCCCACGGGAGCCTGGACGTTCATGTAACCACAGGCAACGAAGTACGTTGAAGTGCGCAGAGGTGACTACTCTAAGCATGGAGGTGACTACTCTGAGCATGGAGGGCGTGGATTGATAGCGTCGAGGACCTAGGTGTGTCACCACCTCTCGATTTCAATCCGCGGGTACCCGCATCGGATTCCTCCATCCGATGCCTACCTGGTGATTCTGATCACCACCAAGTGTGAGAAAGAGATCTATGCTATTGCCACTACTGTGCCTGAGTGTATAACTGCCTATGTGCCTAATCGTGAACTAACTGCTGTGACCGCAGACCTAACGGAGTGGAGATTGGATAGCGATTACTGCGCTAACCTGCCTGCTTTGCCTGACATCGAAATCACAGTATACAGGTAAGCCAGATGGTCTGATGACATAAAACCTGAGAGCGTGCGTATCTCTGTAGACTACCGTAATATCCTCTGAATTGTCCCCGGGGGGACATGTATTTTTTTGCCCACACCGATATCCCCGGGGCTATCTCTACGGCAGGGGGGACATCTTAGAAAAAAAAAAAACACCCCGGGGACAGATTGCCCCGGGGAGATTTACGGAAAACACACACACATGAGATCAATTGAACAATACTAGGTACTCTGTTGAACGTAAATGGCTTCGGCTTGGTTGGGTACGACTGACTGATTGAATTATGGTTCGGTTGCACCGATTTCAAGGAACGATGTTTGTGCCATCATGCCACATTATTGCTGAAACACGCGGACGGAGCCCGTGAACCTCGGACCTTATTCCGACGGCATTCAACAAAACACACACACCGATTTCCATGCACTCCTCCCCCGGGGAGGCGATTTTTATGCGCAGAAAAATATGTCCCCGGGGATATGTATCTCTACGGTAGGGGGGATATCTTCAAAAAAAGCAACAAAAAAAATATCCCCGGGATAATTCAGCGTTTTTGTACCCATTTCGGCCAAATTGGGGGGGGGGGGGGGGTGTACTCATAGTCGTGCATGCCGTAGTCGTTTGACCATTGACCTCGCATCCCTACAAAGCCGGGACGGAGCACGCCGGGTTCTCACCGGACCAGGCTCTCACATCACCAAGCGCGAAGCGCCGTGAGGTATTTGGCGAGTCGCATGAAGGGTGAGCTGCATCCTGCTAAGGGTGTTCGGCATCTTGTGCTTACTTCCTTGCGTACGGATGACAGCTACGTATGACTTAGTTTATTTTCTGGTGCTTTCACTTCCATTGACAGTTGTAAGCACTGTGTAACTGCCTCGAGGAAGCTTGACCATTTTAACACAACGTGGTGCGATCATCCCCCGTTGCGCGGAGTGAGGGTTCTCGACCCCGCACAACATGATCTACTCGACCACCATTTTGGTTACCGCCAAAAAAAAAAACCGAGGTAAAAAAAAAAACGGTAACCTGGTTGCCGAGTTCACGAAGTGAATTGGCTTGTTTTACAACGTCGTTGCCAAGCGACGAAAACCCAATCCCGATGGCAAACCACCGAGTGGGGGGCTTGTTTTACAACGTCGTTGCCAAGCGACGAAAACCCAACCCCGATGGCAAACACCGGGGGGGGCGGCTTGTTTTACAACGTCGTTGCCAAGCGACGAAAACCCAAACCCCGATGGCAAACGAGGGGGGAGGGGGGGGGGGGGGGGGGGACAATTTTTGGGGGGGGGGAAATTTAAAGAAATTTAGGGGGCCCTGAAAAAAACCGGCCCCCCCCCAAAAACGGCACAAGGGAAACCGACCGCGGGGGGGGAGGGCCAAAAAGGGGGGATTTAAAAAAAATTTTGCCAGAATAACCCCATTTCCAAATTTGGGGCCCCCCCCCACCCCCCCTTTAAAGTTTCAAATTTAATTGGGACCCCGCTGAAACTTTTCCGGCCAATGGGGGGCCCCCCAGGAAAGATTTAAAGGGGCCCAATTCCCCCAAAAGGGGGGGGAAAAAAAATTCCCGGGGGGGGGTTTTAAAAAGCGGGGGCGGGAAAAACCCGGGGGTACCCCAAATAAAAGCCTTTGAGGAAAACCCCCTTTTTCCCGGGGGGGGAAAAAACAAAAAGCCCCCCCCCAATCCCCTTTCCCAAAATTTCCCCCCCCTAAAGGGG